TTTAATATATCACCTTTGATGAATGAGTTAAAGTTGATCTGATATAGTTCTTACCATTGTTTTCATTCTCTATCTAGCCACCATTTATTTTTCTGATAGATGAATTTAATAATTATAATTATTTAAAGTATTAAGCTATGTTTTATGTCCAACTCATATGCCTATTAATAAACATAATTTATTTTCTTTCCATCTTGCTTATCACTGGTCTTCTGGAATTTATGTTCTACATAGTTACTCCAAGATGTCAGCAGACTCACATATATTTTGGGATATATTTTGTCATTGCCAAGAATTTAATATCATTTATAAAAGAATGTCACTACTTTTTTTTTCACCCACATTGCCAAGAAAGTAGTCAGTATATGAGAATACTAAGTGGGAGAGATGGATAGCAACTCTTCTCTGTTTCCAAAGTGTAGCTTTCAAACTGTAGCTGTGTAGATTTAGTTGTAGATAAGATCCTAACTCAGATAAGCATTACAATGGCTTCTGAGACAGTATCTATAGTTTTCTTATTTCTAGATACTTAAGGAAATGGAACAATATTGACAGGACTGAAAAAACATCAAAGAACATACTTGATTTTTTTTTTTAACAAAACATCCTAAATATGAGATGTTAGCACCCCGTACTCATTTCTTCCTTATACTGCATTTGATTTTAATCCATAATAGCAGTAAGCAAGGGATTCATGAAATTTTAAGTTCTGATCAGATCTGTCATTCTAGAATACATTTTTTAAACTGCAAATGTATTTTAAAATCAGCCTGTGAGTTGACCACTAGATATTTAAAATCTGACTTTTTATATGCCAACATAAAGAGATACAGTTTCAAATTTTGTCATATAATTGTTATGACTTCAAGTAGATTGCTTTCATGCATAGCGTTTCAACCACAGGTAGCCAAAATCTGTGACTATATATATCTACCAGTAAGTAGAATAAACAGGATCAGCTTTTTCTTCTGGACACTAAATTATTCTTTTTTTTTTTTTTTAAAGATTTTATTTATTTATTCATGAGAGACAGAGAGAGAGAGAGAGAAGCAGAGGGAGAAGCAGGCTCCCAAGGAGCAGGGAGCCCGATGTGGGACTCGATCCCAGGACCCTGGGATCATGACCTGAGCCGAAGGCAGACGCTTAACTGTCTGAGCCACCCAGGCGCCCTGGACACTAAATTATTCTTACACTGGAATGTAAGCATTAGTATAACAGGCTCAGCAAACAGGATAATGTTAGAAAAGCATTCTCTTAAAAATGTATAAAAATATTAGAATTTCAATTTTCAATTTGAATATTATAGCAGTGAATAAAATAATGCACATTTCCTGAAGGAGAGCTTTGGCAAGAATATTAACCAATTACTACCAAAAAAAAAAAAAAATAGAACCAGTGAGAGCTAAGACTCTGGGGATTCTGTGATATTAATTGAAACTTTATATTTTGCTACTATTTGAAGATAATCTTATTTAAAGTGCCTGGATTCTTAAGTTAACCACTTTGTTACATTAAAGGTACATTATTATTTCAATATGCATATTTAAATAGACTTATATTGAAAGCCAATGGGTATATAACATACAATATTTTAAAATCTAGCACATTTGCTATAAATTAAGGATACCCGATTGTGCTATGAGGTAAACAAAGTGCTGTGAAGTTGTAAAATACACTTACATAAGAGTTTATTAATGTGATTGCTAACATATTTTTGGAAGACTGGTTCTATATATGTGACTCAAATGTCAGACAATCCTACCTATTACCTCCTAGAGTTTAGTGAGCTGTTTAGAGCCATCGAATTTTAATACTGGTTTTCAGTTTCAACACTCCAATTTTAATGATGAGGAAGTATTTCTAGAGGTATTAACTTATTCCTCAAGACTAATAATTTAGTTTAGTTTTGTTTTTTTTACCTGGTGCTGGCTGGAACTACTGGTATTATTTTCAAACTATATATATACTTAGGCAGGTCATATGTAAAGATTGAGTGAGGAAGTTAATCCTTAATTATCTGAAAGTTTCATATTAGTTTAATTTTTAGGTTGCTAAATTCATTATGGCTTAGACATAGTAATTTATTTTACTGGCTGTTCTTCAGAGAATTTAATGTATAATTTTTTTTTTTTTTTAAGATTTTATTTATTTGACAGAGAGAAACACAGCGAAAGAGGGAACACAAGCAGGGGGAGCGGGAGAGGGAGAAGCAGGCTTCCCGCCGAGCAGAGAGCCTGATGCAGGGCTCGATCCCAGGACGCTGGGATCATGACCTGAGCTGAAGGCAGACGCTTAACGACTGAGCCACCCAGGCGCCCCTTAATGTATAATATTTTAAATTGAGCATAATTCCTGCAGATTGTGGGAGAAAGAGAAATGGAAGTAATGCTTCTCAGTGGTGGCAGAGATCTCAGTGACTTGCCTAAATTTCATTTATTCTTGTTCATGTGTTTTTGGGGGCTCCACTACTCTCTTATTACTAGGAGGCTGACTCAGAGTTGTTTATGGAGTTTTTTTCTTTCCCCACAGTCATCATGAATCTGTACTGTCATAACTGATTCCCTCTTATTTAATCTCTGAAGTCCAATCTGTATTATCAAGGATGTATTTTTTAAATGATAGCATATAATTAAAGTGCTCATCCAGAGTAGGATTACATCTTTAAACTAAGTTGTCATATTAAAATATAAAAAACATATGATTACTAGATAAATAACTGTATCCCAGACCATATCAGACAATATTTTAATTTTAGGTACAAATAAAGAAATTAAGAGAAAAGCCAGCTCTATTTTGAAATTTAAAAATTTTAGACAAAATGAGTGTTACTTCTGAGATACTGATGATCATTCAAATACATGCCTGCGAAAGAAATCCAAGGGCAAGGTGATTTATTATGAGAAGTCCATGTCATGGATATCATTTTGTCTTATTTTAGCCCAGAACACAATATGACAGAAATATGGACTGGAACTTTTAAATGTCTTACTTTTTTGAAATGTTCTAGAAGGGTCACTCTCTCAGTTTGAATTGGTATTTATACTTTGAAATTGTAGAGTAATGAAATAAAAAGTAGATATTTATGCCTTGTTCTCATCAGTTATAGAAGTGCAAAGACAAAAATATTCCCTCTTGCTTTTCTTCCCTCTGGGACTCAAATAAAAAATAAAACGGAACACTCACATTAACTTTTCATTTCTTGCTAGACAATATTACATGAATATGAGAAAAAGAGAACAATCATCAACAATTACTGGGCTTATTTTAATTTGTTTAGGAGTGAACAAGAAAAAAAAATGTTAAAAAAAAAAAGATGCCTAAACCAAAAGAAAGAAATAAAAGATGGGAAACTAAGTGGGTACTATAGACACAGACATTATTCTGAAATAGCTATCAGTTATTTAATGTGATGACCCCTAAAACATAGCTAAAAAAATATTACTCTCAAAAGTATTCTGCAATATGAGCACGATGTTGGAAAATGAGCTGAAACTACAAAGTAGAAAGAGAAACTGTTCATTTAAGATGTGTGTTATTGTTGTTCTTCTAGATTTAGGTTTTTTTGTTGTTGTTGTTTTGTGCTAAAGGCATAGTTTAATTGTGCACTTCATTTTTAAGGTAAGTTTCTTTGAAAGAGAAATAAATCTATAACTTTATCCATATTATAGGCTGAAATGACTAAATTAATGTGCAGAAGTTCATGCTACTTTTTGTTTTCAAATACTAGAGACCATGATAAAATGTGAACTGAACATAAATCTTATCTTCCATTATTTAATGATAACAGGAAAAACATAACAGTACTAAAATGGAATCAATTTGCTACATTAGGTTTTAAAACGTGATTGATCTTTGTTAAGTGAGAATTTGTAGGTAAGTGGTTTTTAAATCGTTGAGTGCTTTTTTTAAGGGAAGTGTCCATGTAATAATTAGTAATTCTACATAAATAAATGAATCGTGGGCACCTGGGTGGCTCAGTTGGTTTAGCGACTGCCTTCGGCTCAGGTCATGATCCTGGAGTCCCGGGATCGAGTCCCACATCGGGCTTCCTGCTCAGCAAGGAGTCTGCTTCTCCCTCTGACCCTCCCCCCTCTCATGCTCTCTCTCTCTCATTCTCTCTCTCTCCCCCTCTCAAATAAATAAATAAATAAATGAATCATAAATGGAATAAATAATAATTGGCATAATCAGTATGACTCTTTCATCTTTGGGAAAACCTCTCTGATTTGTATTAGGAACACATTGACTGGAGAGAGGAAGATGGAATAGATGACTCTAAGATTCTTTTCAACTCCACAAATTTTTTAAAAATCTCACTTGAGTCACGTGATGGTAGAAAAAAATCTTCATTAAAAAAATCCTAATAAAATGTCAATATAATAATTTTTAGAGGCTTTTTGTTTCATGTGAATTGTTCAAAAATAAGCTTTTTCTTGCCACCCAGTAAGTCATAGAAGAGCATTAGTGCAGCTCGCATCTTTTAATCAGGTTTACATGATGGCTGGCTAGAAACCAGATGGGGCTGGGGGAGTAGGGGAGGCATGTGTAGGGGGAGAGGGATGGGTAGATGGGTATTTGGAAATTATAGCACCTACTAGGAGAGATTCCTGGGATAAAAGAAGCTGCTGGAAGATTAGAGGACATCGGAGGCATTCGGTTCAATAAAGGACAAAGGTAGCTATAGCCGCAGAAATATAATCACTGGAACTTCAAGTGAAATTTCAGAAGTTTCAGGTGGAGTAATTGAGAACACTCTGCAAAAGGTAGTGCAAGTCCTGCTATAAGAAACTGATTGTATTCCAGACTGATACTGTACATAGACAGTGCTTATAGAAGACATAAAGAAATTAAAAGAAAAAACTGATAGAAAGAATGAAAACAAGACAGAAAAATAAGAGTAAAGCATCCAATCGTATTATATTAAAATGCCATGACTAGGTTTTCCCCTCTCTGATGGGCCACTAACACAAATGCTAGGTAAAATGATAATGGAACAGTACCTTTCTTTTAGCCTTTAGCTGCTCATGATACTTGTCACAGGTATCTCCTGGGATCTCTCCTCCCCAGAGAGTAATTCCAACAATGGTGTATGTGACACCCATGACGAGCAATGGGAGGCAGTACACCAGTATAATGACAATAATATGGTAACTGCAAGAAATGAAAAAAGAAAAACAACCACCACATGCTGAAGAGCATATCGAGATGCAATATGTGGAACTTTGAATTCATTCCCTTTTAAATAATAATTGAAAATTCCCAAGATTATTTCCACATTTTTTCCAAGTCCTCATTTCCCAAATCCATCAAGATATCATGTTATTGTCTACTACAGGCATCCAAATGCTACCAGCTGATCTTTGTCAATCTCTGATTCATATGCAAAAACTACAGATGCATTGCAGTCCTGATTTAAACTATCCATGTTCTTCCTGCCTAGAGGTTCAGGATGAATGCCATTTCTCTGCTTGGTAATTGTTCAGCTAATCTAATTAAATTTATCATCAGAGAGAAAGAGATAAGACAGAATAAACGAATCAACTGACAGATCTTTTCTCATATGGAAAATTATTCTATATATCTCTGCAACAACAGTCATATTTGAAATAAATTGTTTTCTATCTGAATAAAAAATGTAACTAGATACTCTAAGCCACTTTGGATCCACAAGCTGTATGACTGTAATTTAAGAAAATCAGGTAATGACACTGACATGCATTTTTCCAACGTCATGACACATCTGATAGCATTATTAATTTGGTAAATAATATTCAGATGTTTTAGTCACACCGGTGTCATGATACTTTTAGCAAACTAAATTCTAGGACTTCATAGCTTTCAATCAAAATTTTAAGGATGCAGTTGGGGAGGAAAAGGAGGGCAACTGATAATATAACCACACAATTAGAATTTGTAGAAGTTTTGCATAATTTCCACTGTCTTAGGAAGGCTTTAAAGTAATTAAAGAATTTGGAACACTAGTCTTCTCAGTATCTGTTTCTTTGTAAAGAGAATCTTAAATCTCCTTGCCTTCCCGTTTCCTGATAGCTTACTAAATATTGAATTACTGTCAGTGGGAAGCAATTCGGTCAACAAATAATTTAATTTTATTATCATGGTTACTTTTATTTTGTTATACAGCTAAGATTTATTAATATCAGATAGAATAACAGTACTCGGTTTAATAACCACTGCCTTCTTTTCCTTCAATAAGTACTTCTTTTTTTTTTTTTTAAATATTTTATTTATTTATCTGAGAGAGAGAATGGGAGACAGAGAGCATGAGAGGGGGAGGATCAGAGGGAGAAGCAGACTCCCTGCTGAGCAGGGAGCCCGATGCGGGACTCGATCCCGGGACTCCAGGATCATGACCTGAGCCGAAGGCAGTCGCTTAACCAACTGAGCCACCCAGGCGCCCTCAATAAGTACTTCTTAATATTTTTATTTAAAAATCTCGACTCTGGGCAGTCAGAGAAAGACAAATACCATATGATTTCAATCATATGTGGAATTTAAGAAACAAAACAAATGAGCAAAGAAAAGAAAAAGAGAGAGAAACAAATTAAGAAACACTGTTAACAATAGAGAACAAACTGATGGTCACCAGAGGGAAGGATGGTGGGAGGATGGATTAAATAAGTGATGGGGATTGAGGAGTATACTTGTGATGAGCACCGGGTATTACATGGAATTGTTGAACCACTATATTGTACAGTTGAAACTAACATTATACTGCATGTTAACTAACTGGAATTAAAATAAAAACTTAAAATAAAAAAAAATCTGGACATTGGGTATAGACCAGTTTGATAAAACAGCTGCTTTAAAAGATGACCATTATATTTGTATTCTTGTTATTGTTAAAGGGAAAAATAGGACACTACACATGATTTTACTGAATTAAAATTTAAATGATCACAATAAAAAGTGCAAACAGGGGCATCTGGGAGGCTCAGTCAGTTAAGCTGCCAACTCTTGACTTCAGCTCAGGTCGCGATCTCAGGGTCCTGGGATCGAACCCCATGTTTGGAAGCACGGAGTCTGCTTGGGATTCTCTCTCTCTCTCCCTCTGCCCCTCCCCCGGTCTCTCTCTCTCTCTCTTTGTCTCAAATAAATAAATTTTTAAAAAATGCAAACAGTTGCCCAGTTATGTTTTTTTTTTTCTTTTTAGAACATGGGTCCAAAATATGAAATATCAAATTCTATCGTATAGAACTCGTATTTCCATTCCAACCTAGTGTTTATGTTTCTTTAATGCTAAAAGAAAGGAACACAACTAAGAGCCTACCAGAACTGCCTTTCCCTGGCCAGGATTTTAAAAGGGCAGTCAACACCTTTGGGCTTCAGTTCTTCTTTTCTCATTTTTTTCTCAATCAGTAATAACCCTGCTTTTGTTTGTGTAATGCTTTCATCTCCAGGGATCTTATCACTTCCTCCAGGAAACTCTCTAGCTCTACCCCATATAAATGTCATCAAATTTTTCCTATTAGAAACCTTTGTAACTTATAAAATTTATTGATCATATCATATTGCAGTATTTTAAACCTTTTTTTTTTAAAAAAAGATTTTAGTTTTAAGTAATCTCTACACCCAATATGGGGCTCGAACTCACAACCCTGAGATCAAGAGTTGCTCTACCAACTGAGCCAGCCAGGCTCTCCATGTATTATATTATTTTAATATGTCTATTTTCCCAAGTAATGTGTGAACCCTTGGGAGGAAATGCTTATGTCTTATTTGCTTAATTGTTTCTCCCAACCTGTAGTTTCCCTAGTGTTCAATAAATTGAATTGAAAACCGCAACAGAGAATTAACTTACGTGAAATGTTGTTTGGGACCTTCTGGCCATTGCACGTAGCAAAGAGTCCGGCCTGGCATGACTTTAATTTTGGAGTAAAGACACTGAGGGAAGGCAAGTAGGAATGCTAGAATCCAAATACTTCCAATGACGATCTTGGTTGCAGTGGCAGACAGTCTGGGTTTCAAGGGATCAATAATGGCCATATACCTATATAAAAACAAACAAAACCATTTTGTTGTATCTCTCGCTACAGAGTTACAAATGGAGTTTCAAAGGAGCTATCTCTCCGGTAAGCAAGTTAATGAGGATTTTGCTTACGTAGAGTTAGCATAGAATGATAATCACGTCCTAGTCCTAGGAATCAGGCAGGTTAAGTTTCAAATCCTATTCTGCAACTTATTTAACCTTTTTGAACCTCAGCTTCATTATTTTAAAAATAGAAATAAGAACACCCACCTCGTAGGGGGTGAAGTCAAGATTAATAGAAATAATGTAAGTGAAAGGTATTGATTATTTGGTGCTGTGCCTAGCACATTATCAGAATTCATAAAGGTCTGCTGAATGGGATTGGAAAAGTGTGTAGTAAGTGCTTAAAAATATGAGTTCTGTACCTCAAGACCTCCATTTTTCTTCTGTATGTTTACCTGTTTGCAAGAAAATTCTAGAGAACTAATATGGATATGATGGACAAAGATGAGGAACCCCTATAAAGATATCATCAACAACTTTATTTAAAAACATCAAGATACAAGTTCAGGATTCAGATAATAATAAATAAGTCCAGTTTGACTGAGGCTGTGCCTTGCTGTTACCTCTAAAATTGAATTCATGGTTTATCATGAAAATCTTCACAGTATCTATGTAACTCTGTATAACATAATAGTTATAGGAAAAATATATTTGAGACTCTTAAAAAGACACTTACATATGGTTTTTGTAGTGCAACTTTCTAGGAAATTGGAAACTCTCTGAATATGGTAACAAAAGTTATTTCACTTGGTAAAATAGTAACTATGTCTGGGAGAATCAATTAAAGTTTTAAATTGGATAATATGTCTAACTGCCAAATTCTGGCTAATAGAGCAGAAAGTTAATTACAAATTATACATAAAATCAATTATATTTCTGCGCTTCTATCAATAAAACATTATTTAAATTATTTTACTGTTGACCATTTTGTGTTTTTCAAATATATTTTGATTTATGCAAAATTTCCAAAGGCAACAATTTAATCAAAGAATGAGTGTTACTTAAACCCCAAACATTTTAATCTTAAGAATAAATGTTTCAAGATAAGGATAATTTATTAATTTGCTTATTGCTCTTTGTTTTATAACTATTAGGCAGAATTGGACCTTTAATAGATATATTGGAACTTATCTATATACTACTAATAATATTAACTTTAGTTGAAATTTACTTAAAGGAAATATCCTTAGTTTATTATGTATGACAGCTAATAGGTATAAGTGAATGTTAGGTATGAAAAAAAATCATAAAAACAGTACCATAGTTTCAGAAAATTAAGTAAACCACACAAGAAAATAAGATGCATATGTTTAAAACTGAAAATGTACCTCTTGTGCTTATGTTGGTGAATAATAGCAACATTTACTGATTGCCAACCATGAGCAAGAAATTTATTATATACACTATATATATTTAATATCTAGAACAATCTAGTCAACCAAATAATATTATTATCTCTATTTTACAGAAAACTGAAGCTTAAAGACATTAAGCAAATTGTTCAAAATGACCCAGATGGGAAGGGCTTAGAATTCTAAACCAGTTCTGCCAGTCTTCAAAGTCCATATGTTTATAGACTGTGGCTTTGAATATGACTGCTTATGTCAGGAATTGTGGAAGAGAAAGAAAAATATATAAAGTAGATGCCATCCAAAGAATCACATTTTGCCTTGGAATCCAAAAGCGTTCATGTGCAATGTTAATGACAAAAGTCAAGCATAGAAAGGTAATATTTGTAGTTGGGCATTTCTGTTTCCACTGCTGCTAATTATGATTCACCACAGCATTTCTCTCATTATATTGACTTGTTGCTTAATGGATGTTTCTAGAGCCAAGCACGGCACTTACCAATAAATTTTGTTGTACTGAACTGAATATTTCCCAACTCTCTCATAATCTTTGGCTTTTTTGCTTGCCCTGAAAGTATATGAATGCAGTTTGGATGTTTAGACAGTTGATTTTTTTAGACTAAAAAGAGAATTTGAGTGACATGAGCAGGGTTAGAGTTTTCTACAGTTACTACAACACAAATAATTCAAAAAAAGGTGCAAGTTGCTTATTGATTGTTTTGGTGACTTACTCTATATTACAGAAATTATTTCCTGACAGGGAGAATATTGTCTTATATGAATTATATGAAAACAATCAATTTATATTCTCATTAACTAACACTTTAGTGAAAATAGAAATTTAGGAACTTCAAGTTGACATTTTTATCATTTCTGGTTTGATCCATTATTCATTCAACCAAACATTCATTGAATGCCTACTGTGGTATTCTAAACACTACAGTGATACAACACTGAGGAGAAATGATCTTCACAGAGCTCACAGTCCAGTGAAGTAGATAGATACTAACCAAATAATGTAAAATAAACATAAAATTACAAATATGACAAGTGTTACAAAGGCAAGCAACATATAGCCATGTGAATGCTTTTACTGGGAAAAACATATTTAGATTGTGACTCAGTCTTCCCTAAGAAAAGTCATTCTGGCTTGAAGTTTGGAAAGGTGACTAGGCAAGGTGGCGGAAGAATAAGGATTGCCAGAAGATTTGTGGAAGAGCAAAGGACATGTGAAAAACTTCTGTGTTAATGGGTTTTTATTGGTTGAATTGTGTGTCTTTAAAAAAGATATGTTTAAGTCCTAAACCTCTCTACCACAGAATGTGACCCTAGTTGGAAATCGAGTTTTTATAAAGGCAACTGAGTCAAAATGAAGTCATTAGTGTGGGCCCTAATCCAATATGACTGATTTAAAGGAGAAATTTGGGAAGAGAGAGAAACATATGGAGAATGCCATACGAAGATGGAGGACTGAATGATGCATCTAAAGAAATCAGAAGGGGAGACAAACCATGAGAGACTCTTGACTCTGGGACACAAACTGAGGGTTGTGGAAGGGGATGTGGGTGGGGGGATAGGGTAATTGGGTGATGGGCATTAAGAAGGGCATGTGATGTGATGAGCACTGGGTATTATACGCAACTAATGAATCATTGAACACTACATCAAAAACTAATGATGCAATGTATGGTGATTAACATAACATAATAAAAACAAACAAACAAACAAAAAACCCCAAAAAACTAATGATGTTGGCTAATTGAATTTAAATTAAAAAAATAAATAAAAGCCAAGGAATGCCAAAGACTGCCAGCAAACCACAAAAAGCTAGGAGGAGGCAAGGATTTCCTTACAGGTTTCTGAGGGAGCTTGGCCCTTGGCAACCCCTTGATTTCAGACTTCAAGCTTCCAGAACTGTTAAGACTGTAAAATTCTGTTGTTTTAAGTCACTCCATTTGTGTTACTTTGTTACAACAGCCCCAGGAAACCAAAGCAATGGATAAGGAGGGGGAAGCATTGGGCACTTGAGTAATTAAAGACTACTGTAACAGAAACATAGAAAGTGAGTGGGGGAAGTGGTTTGAGATGGAGTTGTACAGCAGGGTGTAGGTCTTTTGTCCTATGGCAAGTAGTTGAGGTGATCAGTCAGAGGAGAATAATCAGATTTTAGTATGGAGAATGGACTGAAGGAAGGAAAAGAATGGAAGCAGGGGAGTAAGTAACTTGGCTATGTTTTGGTTTCGACGAGAGGATTGCTGCTTCGAGTAGGGTGTTACCTGGGAGATTGAATTATGTTAATGGTTTGAGGAAAATAAAGGAATGTTGAAACATTGTAGAAAGGGAGAGCCAATTGGCCAAAGAAGTAGGTACAATTGCCAGGCACTGCTGACAAGACCAATTTGAAATTGGTAATTAAGAATTCTTTGTGGCATCAATATTTCCTATTCTGTGACTCTCTCCAGCAATAATAATTTGCTCAAAAGTAGGCATAAAAAATAAAAGGATCCTTGGGCTCATTCACATGAATATCCTCTGGACCCTGAGAAGAAATGATCCAATCTGAGTTATATTATCACCTAAATGATTGTCAGTACTTTTATTTCTCCTTTCAAGAAATTTGTATCTTTGATGTGATCACGTTAGCTGTTCCTAGGTTTTTGTCTGAGCTTCTCACTACCATTCTTCCCTCACTAAACAGATTCTCAGATATGTTAGTCTCCTTGGTCTGATTATTTCGTATGTAATAGCTAAGATTGGATTCTTCACTCTTCCAATTAGCATATCACTTAAACAAGTTTAAAATCACTTTTTATTAGCGGCTCTCTTGGCGCAGTGGGCAGTGCGTCGGTCTCATAAAATCACTTTTTATTATCTTTTGAATCTGAAATTTTCAGAAGCATCCATTGAAATCTCATATTTTTAATGCCATATTTTATCAATTTTCCTTCTCATTCTAATGAATTCCTTTACCACTTGCTTTTTTTCTGATATAATTGAAGGGTCTTTTCTGGTCCTTTGATGTCTAAAATAGAATATTTTGACATAACTTTTTCAATAAGTAAGCCTTTTCCATTTTGCAATTCTTCTTGATATCTGTCTGGTATAATTCTTCTTTTTGTTAACATTTTTATTAAGCTCTGTTTCTGGATCTTTTTGTGCTTCTGCAAATTTTAAAATTTTGGTATGAAGACAGAGTGCACTCTTCAGATGGGTACTTGATTATATTAACAATGCAAAGAATATTTGCGAAATGACATGGGTTTGGCTGTTTTCCAATTTGCTTCTGGCCACAGTAGACAATGTCTTAGTCCGTAAAGCCCATATATAAAATGCTATCTAGCTACTCTCTGTGCAAAGTAAAAATTAGTTGCAATAGGTGTTCATGACACATAAAATTTCAACTTCTGACCTTTGGTGCTAAGGCGTTTTCTGCTTTGAAAAGTCACTAGAGAGAAATATAATCTTTTCTGAAATTGCATTTTGTAGACAATTTTATTTTGTGCTTTTTCATAAGTGTTTTAAAGAAGCAAGAGTGAGCCAATTAATCTGTTATATTGTCTTAGTGAATTTTGAAAGGAACAAGTATTTATTAAAATGAACACATATACA